ATGTCGGAAACGGATTTGGGTTTCCGAGCGTTCGGAAACCCCTCAGGTCGGTTTCCCACAATACGGAAATTTTTTAGAGTGTAGTCGTTATCATGAAGAAGATTTTAATTTATATGAATGAGTAAGCAATTTAAATGTTGAATAAGTCGATTTGGGTGTGGGTGGGTGTGGGTGTGTGGATGGGTGTGGGTGTGGGTGGGGTGTGGATGTGGGTGTAGGTGTGTGGATGTGGGTGGGTGTGAGTGTGGGTGGGGTGTGAGTGTGAGTGTGAGTGTTGGTGTCTTTTCGGCTATCAACACTCACACCCACATCCACACCCGTAACGAAGAGATCATCACCTTCGCCCTCAGTGTTGTTTTCTCTGAAAGCTAGTTGAAACAGTTCGATCAATAGAAAACTTGTTATGATCTGCATCATTTAGATGCGATCATAAGGCTTTCTCCTGTGATGATACCTTCTGATTTCACTTGTCCTTGTTCTCCTCAATTTTGTTCTCTCGATGACGTCACTTATATCTGATTCTTTCCTTTCCTGTTATATGATATCACTGGATTTTCCCATCTGCTCTCTCTCTGATGTCCCCTTGATCTCTAGCTGTGATTGGGATGTTTCCGATTATCATCTGTTGGATTTTTCATAGTCTTGGTTTTCTTATGTTTCCATCACCCTATATATAGCTACTTAGTGGTTGTGGTGGAGAGAGAGATCATCAAAAAAAGTTTTAGTTGGGATTCAGATCTCACAAAAGTATCATTTTATAACAATAAGCATGAATATTCGACGAACTATTTTACAGAAGGAAGCAAAGTCGCCAACGTGTTCAGTTTATTCGTACTAAGCACATTTTAGAATTCTAAGGATTTCTTTTTGTATGAGTTTCAAATATTGTAATCCAAAAAAAATATTTCTAACATTATAACCACGTGTCGCATCTGTTGGATCAATAATTTGATTTTGAATAAAGAATGATTGAACACTTTCTAGTTCAACCGTAAATTCATCCGGCCAGATACGCGATAAACAACTACTAACACATTCACTCAATCTTTCGATATCCCAGTCAGTTTTTATTGTTATTTTTAGTTGTTGGAAAAACATCGATTTCCACATCCACGATGTTAGTATATCTTCAAATGGCATACGCAGCAGTTTTAATATAGCAAAACATGCTAATTGACATAAATTTAGCCGGGAAAAAATCTGATATTTACATACAGAAAATGATATTCTTCAAGCAAACATATTGCACACATTATAATCTGCTTTGGTAACTACATGATAACCCTATTGTGTAAGATCGTCTATTTCAATCACAGGTAATGAATGTTTATAAGCATTAGATGGCCACTGATTGAATATTGATATAGCTGGAGCAATATCGATTGAAATATGAAGTTTTTCGTATTTTTTTCCATTCCATTCCATATGCAATATGGCACCTACTTTACTTTGATTGATCAAAGTGACACAATTTGGACAATTTTCATGATACGGAACAAGATTAAATCGTAGATACTGATGTTGCCACCATTTGCATCGGAACATATTGGTAAATGATGCCTGTTGCATTAATAAAATAATGTATAGACGAAGTTTTGATGCATTTAAGAAGTTTTCGTTGTCATTTATAAAATCTTTCCATTTTGATTGGATCCTAATATCATCAACAATTATTTTAATATAACATGGATCATTGGTTTGTACAAAATGAATAGTTTCTTCAGTAATAAAATCATTTTTACCAAATTCATATAAAAAATCAAATTCATCCGGTTTTTGCACCTTAAGACCTTCAAAACCACTACCAGATGGTATCAGTTGGCTGTTAGAGAAACGATCATCAATATGTGCCATTTCAATGAGCAAATCACAATATCGTCGTTGTATTGATATGTGCATGTACATCATGAATGATGAATAATCATCGTGCTGGTGTCAAACGAATCTAAATTTAAAAAAGCCATAGTAATGTAGATTTCACGCTTTTGGTCGACAATTTACCATTACTTCTATTCGTTTCTCTCATTTTCTAAGTTGGTAATTACCAAGGAAGAAAAAACATCACCTATCGATTGTTTTTGTGTCGCCACATGCCACAATTTTCTTCCTTGATACATTTGTTTGTTTAGGTTTTACCAATGACATTCTTTTCTTCATATTTGCACTCACATAAATATAATATAGTCGTGCATGATTGTGCTTTGAAAATATTCGTTTTCTGAAGGACTATTCAAACAAAAGTGATTACTCAATTTGATACTTTTGATCATTCTTCGAAGCACGTTCATTGTTCATTTTGCAAAAAGTCATAACTATAAAGAAAACTAAAACTGAGGTGGGTGAGGAGGGTGATCGTGAATAAGAGACATTCATGTTCACCCTCATTCTCACGCAACCACCCATCCCATCCACCCTCAAGAACTTTAAATATGATCGACATTTATTCAAAAGTTAAAAAAAAAGGTGCAGCAACGATATATAAAATTGTGCCCTAATCCATCACAGTCAAACAGTGTTTCCACGGCCATTTACTCTGTATAATTCCACCTGTGATATTTTTACAAATCCAGTGCTGATTAGCTTCACCAGTACAGTGTTATTTCGACTGAGGATTTTAGCAACTTTCTATAGTGCACACCGAGACACTTTCCGTTAAGAGCAATGAGGCTTCCATTTTGGAGATCCAACGACCACACCTGGTAGAAATTTAGACTAGGCACACATGGTGAGATAGAGACTGCTGAAGACTGGTTCTTATGAGTAGTAAGACATAGCTGACTGTGAAGAGGACGAATGGAATGATCGTCTCGATTTTACTGCCACTGTTGAGCTGTTGGTGAATGATATCTCCTGCAGAATCGAACGTTCACTTCTGAAGATGCGCGAAGGCCATTACAGAGAAGGCAGAGAAGAAGAAAAGTGAAGAATCTCCACATGTTGATGCACTATGGTAAAAGAGTTATTCAGCGGAAAATTGTTTATTTTCGAACAAAACCGAATGACGAAGACTTATATAAGCAATTGAAGAGTGAATGAGATCTGTTATCTCTAACACAGGTTCTTTTCTTTTCTATTTACGAGAAAACTACCTGAAGTGACATCTGTCTTTTGAGCTGATATTTGGTTCATAGAGAGCTCTTGATAAAACTAACAAAGGGCTAAAATGGTGAGTGTGGATATGAGATGAATATAATACACACACATTTACTTATACCCATGCGTATAAATGTTGAGCGTGTTCTATTATTTGTTTCTTTTACAGTTCGATCTTACTACTCGTCATTCGGATTTTTTTAAACATGTATCACATCTTCTCACTATATTTTCACTTTTTATTTATTCGAAAAGACAGTCCTTTTCTTCTTTGCTTCCAAGACTACACGGCAGCATTTCGTTCTTACCTTCTTATCTTTGAAAGTATATGCGAGTGTGAATGTGTGTGCGAGTGGATGACCCTAGAGAAAGTACTGAGTTCAGGGTACCCATGTACTGAGAAAGCTCTAGCAGGGTACCCAGTAGGGGTACTTTGAAAATTCTCAGTAATTTTACTGATGTATGTACTGTTTGGGGTACCCGTAAAAGTACATTCACTGAATAAGTACCTGCATGGATACACAAGTCTGTAACTTTACTGAGGAAAGCTCGACAAGGTATCCTAAATTTTTCGCGTTCTGTATGGCGACTATTCATTCACCGTTTTCTTTTTTACGTGCGGCTCTATATAAACAACTCGATAAATCATAAGAAAATAATCAATTTTCATACTAGTTTTTTCTAAATTATTTCTCGACTATTTCTTAGTTGAGGAAATACTGAGCTTGGTCGTAAATTAAGATCGGACCATCCTGAAGTGGTCTACGACCAACGCAAGTTGAGTCGGATCTCGACATTGTTCCTGCTAAGTTTTTGGAATTGAAAAAATTAAATTGAATAAAGTAAAAAAAAAATCTAGTAAATTATTTCAAGAAAAAGAAAAAATTTTAAAAAGTCAAAGATCAGGTTCGATCCTGAACGTACTGAAAATTTGGTAACAGGGTACTTAGAAATACTATACAATAGTACCCAATTCAGTACTTGATCAGTACCTTTAGGTACCCAATTACTGTGCATTCTCCATCAGGGTACTTGCCATAGTACCATTTAGATACCTGTAAGTACCTGCAAGTACTTTGGTATCCAAAAGTTCCTGTGACATACTGGTATCAGGGTACTTTTTTGGGTACCCTTAACTCAGTATATTCTCTAGGGGACATTATAATATTCCTCGCTCACTTTCACCTACTCTTTTTCTTGTATTATGGTAGCTTGGCACCCCTTCAGTCTTGCTTTCCCGTTTATTCAAGAGAAATAGGATTTCGTTAGCCACTTCGTACTTCTTTCGATAAGATGTCATGCAAATAGTTTAATAAAGAATAGTTAAACGTTACACATTCGCAACCTACGCATGTGTCATATGCCATGATAGAAATGCCAAGTCGAAAGGAAAAATCGTCAATTATTTGCATAGCGACTCCTTATGGTTTCATGTCGTTAGGAACGATCATCGAAATTTTGACCATTCAACATTGTTAGGATCTGGATTTTTCACCAGGTTTATTTGTATATCCTCGTTTTCAAGAAGAAGAAAAAAACCAAAAAACGATATGAATGAATCAATTAATCAACAATTAAGAGCGAGAGAGAGAGAGAGACAGCAACAACAATAACGAACATATATGTGTAAAGTATAGATGTCAGGTCCTAACAAACACGAAAATAATCAAATTAGGTGCATTATTTATGGGAAAAATTTGACTCAACAAATGATGAAATTAACGACTTCGGATAGCTCCAAATAACAAGACCACTTGTTGAAATTCTATTGTTTTATTACATTTGGATAATATCTATATCTATGAGCTATATCTTAGTAACAATACATCAGTAATACTTGATTGTATTGGTCAAAACGAATCTTTACAACCATGCTATTGATCCAACAAAATATCAAAATGTATATTTTTTTTTTACTTCTCTTACATTCTGAGAAATAACTTATAACTTCACGTAAATCTAATATATAATTAACGAGACCAGTAAACATACGAACGAATTAAAACAATTCGATATGGAAGAAGAACTGGAATACAACCGATGACAGTTCCAGTACAACGAAAAACAATAGTCATAATACAAGTTGGAATTCCTCGTTTTAGACCTATACATGATTCATCATAACGACATTATAGGCCGATGAAAGCGTGGAAATTAAGAAAGAGCACCGGTTCAAAACAAGAAACGTTAATTTAGTACTATACGAAAAACTGTTTGGTGTATCATTGTTAAACTCACTCATCCCTGAAGAAATAGAGAAAACTTACAACAAGAACAGAAAAATCCCGAAAAAACCAAAAGAATCCTCTCTCATCGAGGACAAAGACATAACCAAGACTCATCACTACTACAACAATGTCAACAAGAAAG